AGGCTGTGTTTGATAGCAAAGATAAACTGCGTTAAAAGGCAAAGTACTTTTCGGTAGCTCAGGAGCTTAATACTATCAGACAAAAAAAAAATAATAATAAATATTTAGACCTGAAGAAATTATAGCTAACTTTTTTCGGCACCCGTAAACCCTCTGACATACACAGTTTAATATGCAAACGAAATGTGTGGCAAAAGTTTAAGCAACTTTTTCGTGTAAAACAAAACAAAAATCAAAATAAGAATAAGTAAGAAAGCAAAAAAAAAAGCATAGGGTTGCGTCAGGCTTGACTTTTTTTGCGCTACATTCGCCGCTCTCCACTGGCACTGTTGCAGCCGCAGTTTTTCGTTGTCACCATCACAATTGAGCTGCAAGGCCTACATAAACACTTTCTATATGTGTATGTATGTACATTAGGCATATGACTTGTTTTAATTAATTATACTTATGAGGAGAGGATGAGGAATGATGATAAACTAATTAAACTTGATAAAAAAAAAGTTCCCGCGGGGAACACGGAGGAAAAAGTGTGTACAGAAAAAACAACATGCATATACCTACGTACAGCAAATCTTAGCCCCGCGGACGTTACGTTCGGAAGTGTCTATTAATATTTTTTGGGCAAAAAATTTGGATTTAAAAAAATTGTGTGTTTAAAAGGGAAGGTTTAAAGCGGTACTCTCGAGAGATCAAAAATATTAGTTTGCATTAATTTGTATTTGCCCTTGAAATTTGTATTTGGACGTTACTGAAAATCAAGCGATGCAGATTACAGTTGAAATTTTGTGTTCTTGGGTGTCAAATTGTAGGGCTTGACCTGTAGATGTGCGATAAAGTTTTTTTTTTAAGGGTTGCCACCTGTTACAATTAAAATTTAATTCCAATTATTTAATAAGTTAAATGAATTAGAGCATAAATCGAAATGAAAAGGCTTAAATGGCTGGCATAAATATATTAACATATCATATATATATAAATTTTGCATAATATAATTAAATTCGACTTTGCAAACAAGTGACGACCCGCTTTAAAATATTTTCAAGCTAAGCCCTACTTAAACCGCGAGTGGTTAAAAGCTATTATTCTTCGTCCGGTTCTAGCAACTCCCGACTTGCAGTGTTTTCGCGAAGTATCCTCTGGCTAGCAGTTGAGCACCTATTCAGAAGCAGTTGAGCACCTAATCTGAGAAGTCACACGCCCAGTAGAGGGTTGTGTGCTAGTCTCCGGACCCAGTCTCGGATGAGAACCTGTCCTTTTGATAACATTTCGCTCATTTGCACCCACGCCTTCACACGAAAGAGAAAGGTGAGGCCTCCAAGGATCCCCTCTATGACCGACTAGACCGCACGTACGAACGCTGACCCCGTCGCGATATCAAAATCGTGCTTGGTGATCTTGGTACATCCGTCGGAAAATTAAGCCTTACCACGAAATTTCCGATAATGCACCGAGACTGATCAACTTATTTACTGTATTTGCAAGAAAATCTTCCGAGTCCAACATTTCGACATCCTTCAGTTTGGGCACCTGCTCTTCCCTGTTTATGTATTTTTTGGCTATGTGATCTATGGTTATGGTGATGTGCCTACGCTTGACTAAATTTTTTATTTATAGGGAAATTTCGGTAAAATTTTTGGTGGATAAATTACCAAAATTAATACTATTCAGAGCTATGCTTTAGGAAGTAAGAGGGGCAACTCAGAACTACGTAGCACTATGCCATGTTTGAAAAACAAAAAATGCGAGTGTTTGGATATCAGGCATTTCTTCCGTTTTCGATTGACTGTTTTTCGGATATGCCAATACATATATTTAAAATTCTAAGTCATAATTCGGTTGACATAGAATTTTCTATATACACTGCCGGCAAAAAGGATTGGCACAGCTGCTTTTTTACAATATCTGCAACAACTTTTATTTTTATATTTTTTGGAGAATTTTTTATAAAAATATAGTTCATTCCACAACAAAAAACAAAAAAATATAATTTATAAGCTTTGTGCAAAACTTCAGCAAATTTTCATGCAAATTTTCAACTTTTTAATCAAAAGTTTTAGAATTTTTTTGAGTACGCAGATTTGTAGCTCAATCAATTTTATTGAAATAAAGTAGAAATTCTAAGTAGCTACGAATTACCTTTGATTTTTGTATTTTTTTTAAGCAGTCTCTTCCATAAAAAAAAAATCGAAAACACTTTATATGAAAAAAAATGCGAAACCCCCTTAACCAAAGAAATTTCAAAAATCGATGCTTCATACCCAAACTGCATACCCAAGAAAATTCTAAAAGATCTGATTAAAAAGTTGAAAATTTGCATGAAAATTTATTGAATTTTCGAGAGTTTTGCCCAAAGTTTAGAAATTATATTTTTGCGTTTTTGTTGTATAATGAAACATATCATTTAAAAAAAATAGCGCAAAAATATTAGAATAGAAAGTTGTGCATATATATTGTGCAAAATTCGCTGTGTCAATACTTTTTGCCGGCAGTGTACATTTGTACGAGTAAATGATTTTTTTGGTTACAGATTTTTTTCCTCAATGATCCCTGCTGGAAGTTTTTTTACGAATTTCTTACTAAATCGCAACTTCTCATTATGGGTATATTTAATTTTAGAAAAGTCATATGCCTAATATACATATGTAAGGATTAACACATTTTCAGTTATGTTTTTATTTTCATTGAAAATGTTTTCAGCTTTCTGTTTTTTGTACTTTTCATTTATTTACTTGTTTGTTTTCTTTTGACACTTGAAGGGTTGGTTCGAGTCCCTTTTGTTTTGTAGTTTTTGTACACACCGTTATTAGGGTTGCTTTTTTCCTACCGACTGCGCTCAGCTGTTCAGTGTTTTCTCATTGTGTGTCTTCATTTGCGTTGATAATGCTGTTGTTATTTTTGCTTCACTCGCAATCTTGTTTCATTATTTGTCAGTGGAGCGAAAATCCTCTCAACCTTCTACTGAAGCAGGCCTACCGCCGCCGAGGTAGCAAAAAAAACATAAAAACTTTTGAATGACAGCAAAAACAAAAGAAAGAAAAGAGTTGTTGATGTCAGTACGCGGCTTTGACACTTGAAACTGTCGAAGTGCAGAGCGAAATTGTGGCCTAAAAGTTTAAACGTATTTACAATGCTTTAATTGTATTTAATGTGTGTGTCTACAACTTTGTTGCCGAATCTCGGGTTTTTTTTTTTTTATAGTCGCTTGGGGCCGATAATGTCGCAGAATGCTGTGTAAACTTGAACGAGTGTCTCCTAAATTATGTAACAAAGATTTGTTGGTAATTTCTTTTGCATCGCTTAGTTGACCTTAGGCATTAAAATTTGGCGAAGTGATTAATAACATTGTTGTTGATATTAAAATTGACGCAATACTTTTTCACGACCTCAATACGGATTCGAGTAAATAATAACGTCGCTTTGCTTGTTTTTGACAAAAGTTGAGTGAAAGGTCAAAGGTTTTTTCGCTGGTGATGAAAAGCTGAGCTTAAGAAAGTTTTGCACTTTGACAATAACACTTTAATGACAATTTGCACATTTATGCTTAGAAAAGTTTTCGGGTCCCTTTGCGCCTAATTCGTGTCAACGAATGCGACTGCCTTTGAATAATAATGAAAAATACGATTTTAGTTATAAAATGTATATGGAATAAGGAATTTACATGATTCAACTTTCATAGGCGATCAGTTGAACCAAAAGTTGAACGAAAGTAGGCAGCCGGCCAACTTCATTGAAAGCGATTAGTGGAAAGGCCGTTTACACCAGGCGATTGTTGCTTTCAACTAAAAATCGCCTGAAAAATCGCCTCAAGTAAATTCCCTATAAGTATTTTCCCTATAAAGAAGTGGAAAGGAAAATATACATAGATACATATAACTGTACTTATGTACATATGTATATAAAAACGAAGAGTCACATCTTAGTTGGTACATGAAAATGTAAGCTCTCGGATTTAGGAACTTATTACGCCTGTAAGTATGTATATGGTGACCGCTGTAGCCCATTTCTGAGAGATGCATACGGTCATTCGGTAGATCGAGAGTTAAAATACTAGGAATTTGGGACGCCTGTTTAGCGGCTATGCTTTCTACTTGTAGCGTGTTGTAAGGCGTCGCTATCTGCTGTCTGCATTTCTTCCGATGCAAATACGGCGTCGCTCGAGGACGTTTGTCTCCAGGGCTTCAATGTTACGCTGCTGAGCTCAGCCTATAAACTAAAGCAGCTGACACTGGCGATCGAGTTCTTGTCAAATACAACATCCGCACACGCTGCAGGCTTGTCTGCGTTCCTTGTCGCATTTTTTCTTTGCGCACATGGGTGGACATTAAGCCGTATCACTATATATGAATGAAAAAAAAAAAACGTAAGTGCGCCTAGGCCACACTGGAGACGTGAAAATTGTGTTACATCGATAAAAATACCGATTGCAAAACCGCTAAAATTATCGATACCCAAATCGATATTTCCGTCTGAAATTTGCGTTCACTTTGCCAATTTACTCCCAAGCAAACCAACTCCCAAGCAAGGAATTTCACTTCAAAAAGGTTTAGCCTTCGTCAGTTTTATTTGAACACCTATGTCGGGAAAAAGATTTGGGTGCAACAAATTTTTTTAGGGAACCGCTAAGAACAACTAATTCGCGTTTTTTTTGCTATAACTACTTATTGGATGGCCGATTTTTTAAAACTTTTATCTCGCCGAAAAGGTCTCGCGCAGGAGTGTAATTGGTCATTAAAAGGGTTTGGCCTTAAAAACTGTTTTGATTTATACCTTCAGTAATTTTCTCAGCATGCAACATACTTTTACAAAAAATAAATTTAAAATAAAAGTAAAATGTATCCTAAAAACATTCACATTTATTAACAAAAATCACCATTGACTAAGCACTGATTGCTAGTGTTTTTTGCCAGTCTATCGATTGCTTATAAGCTGCTTATTATTTATTTAGCATACTTTGCATTTTTGAGTAATTTACAAGTTTTGCATAATTTAATTTTTTGCAGGTGTCTTGGATAAGGAAGCGGGATTTACACATACTGACCGCCGGTTCGACGACATATACATCAGATCAGCGATTTCAAGTAAGTTTGTTTTACAATGCTAAATACATTTAATATACATGCAAATCTTTTCTGAAGATATAACGATTTGATATCGCTGCGATTTGCAAATCTTTTTTCGATATTTGTAATTAAACTAATAAATGTTTCAATTGAAAACTGCTAAAAGATTATTATTTACGTCCCATCAACCGGTTAAGTGCGAAATTGTTTCCTTTTTTTTAAGAGATCTTCAAAAAATATCCTGTATATTCGTTATATTTTATTTTATGAAAATAACAAGTAATTTTTAAGTAAATAAGTAAATAAAAATAATAATCTGACGAATTGATAACCTCCTCCTTTTTTGAAATCGGTTAAAAAGAGTTGCTGAAAATTTTAATTTGTTCCTATAAAAATGTAACTTTGTTTGTTTTCTTAGGTAATACGCCCGGAAAATTCGGGTAACTGGACATTGCAAATAAAATATCCACAACCGCGGGATTCGGGCATTTACGAATGCCAAATCAATACAGAACCAAAGATGTCTCTCTCATACACTTTCAGTGTAATTGGTAAGTAAAGTTTCCAACATTAAAGTTTACTTCAGCCAAAAAACAAGAAATTGTAAATTAAAAAGTAAGTGCCTGATTAAAATTTACAAATTTATCTTAATCCACATGTTGGATTGTATAAAAATACTTTGTATGTAAGGAACATCACATTGCTGTGCGAGTTTTTCTCACGGTTGGTGGTAGATCTTCTACTATGTAGTAATCATTGGGATGCACCTTCGTCACCTGATACGGACCCTTATATGCTGGCTGCAATTTGCGTGACGTACCTGTGGTAGAAGGTACATTATCGATTAAAACTAATTCGCCTATTTTATATGGCCGTGGCGTTCGATTTAAAAAAAAAAAAACTCATTCACGTCCCTTTTTTTTAATATCAAAACACGTTAATTCAACTTTGCAAAACAAATAAAAAGGATGAAAAAATACATTTCCAATTTTCCTCGGAAGTATAAATAAGTATAGTTTTGACTGAGTTACCCAAGTTTATCTTAAACTTATCTTAAAAAAATTATAAAAAAGCAGCATCAAAGATCTCATTATCATGATTCCGTTGAAAAAAAAATTGATTTTTACGCAGATTTTTAAAACTTAAACTGTTTTGTGATCTGAGAGGGTTTTTTTTAATTCTTTATTTTTATTTATAAAAAACTCAATTTTTGGAGGTATTTTCAAATCGGTCCAGCTCAAGTAAATCTTAATATTTTTGCGAAAAATTTTGGTGGACGCTTTCAAATATAATAAATTTTGTAATAAACCACAACGGTGTTTGGTAATGCAGTCTGAGGTACGTATGTTATTTAAATATAATTTTTCCTCAAAATTTCTGAAAGTAAAGTTTACTTAAATCCACTTTTAACAACGGAAAACGAAATTCGTATGTAGTTCCCTTATGCAACTTCTAGAGCTTATAAGCTGATTTAGCAAAAAGTTGTTAAATGTTCATGATTTTGGCAAAGAATGATTACTAAATTGAATTTTCACGACTTTTATGCCGAATGAATGTCTGTACATATATACACACATATAGTACATGCATATGTACATCTGTTTATGTATGAAACTATGCATGTGTGTAGATTTACAGTAACATATGTATGTATGTATTTAAATTTATATATATGTATACTTATGTATATATAGATCATATCATTATATAAATAGGCAATCATGTTTCCTTTACACCCCTTTTACGGCTAAACTATACTTCTAAGGTATAAACAATTATATATCATTAGAAAGGTATTTTGATGCTGATGTGCAGGCAATTTTTAAAATTTCAAATCAGTTTAAAATAGAGCGAAAAAATCAATTCAAAAGTCACACCAATACCAATGCCATACATGTACATGGTTGGGGCGGAAATGCCCCCTAAATGTATGCTTTAATATTGATAGCGAATTAAAGAAACGTGCTAAGCAGCAGTTTAGGAATAAGATGTATGTATGTATGTACATGAATAGATTAGAATCAAACAAGGAAGAAGGTAAAGTTGAGTATGGGGAAGAAGAAAGTGATAAATACAGAAATTAAAATAAAAGTAAAGAAACCTAGATATAAAGACAAAGAGGAAGGAAAATTTAAATACCTAACCTAATAACAATGGTGGGGGTGAATATGTAAATGAAGAAAAGAATGGACATATTTAGATCAGGATAAAGGAAAATATAAAGATGAAGACCAAGACGACGAAGATGAAGATGAAGATGAAGATGAAGATGAAGATGAAAATGAAGATGAAGATGAAGACGAAGATGAAGATGAAGATGAAGATGAAGATGAAGATGAAGATGAAGATGAAGATGAAGATGAAGATGAAGATGAAGATGAAGATGAAACACACCACAACTTAACCCCCACACCGTAATTCACCACACTTCAACACTCTCACCACACCTCAACTCACCACACCTAAATTCACCACACCTTAATTCACCACATCTCAACTCACCACACGTTAACTCCCCACACCTAAATCCACCACACCGTAATTCACCACACCTCAACTTTCTCACCACACCTTAACTCACCATACC